AGCAAGCTTCATAAAATCACTACCTGCTATGTAAAGATGTGCTGCTTTTTATTTTTGTTAGGCTGATCTCAATATAGTTTCATCACATTCCTCCTTGTTATAATATTGTGGGATTTGGTGAGCAATAGTTCTGCATTCACCATACTCTGCTTTAATGCTTTTGTAAGTTTTGATCATATTACCCCCTCGGTCTTCTGCTCTTCAAACTGAAGAGTTCCAGCTTTTTTAATCTCTCTTTGTGAGGCAGCTGCTCCGTCCTCTGAATCATTCTCTCTACCTTCTCTTAACCCTATTCTTTGAGTTGGAGAGACCAGAACTGCCTGGTATACCAGTGTATTATATAGCAGCAAAATTACAACCTCTCTCATGGTTTTGATACTTTTCTTGGTGACAGCCAGTTTTCTATCTTTTCTAGCTGTGGTTGAGCACAGAGGGCTGTGAACTGTGACTCCCGATCTCTTCTCCACTCAGAGTTGATGTGAGAATATTAGTGAAGTTTAGATGTTTTCCCCCAAAGCGCAGTATCTTACATTGACCTGGGCTGAAGCTTGTCTTCTGCCTCTTTGCCCTCTTGCTCAGTTTTGTAACATCCTTTGAGTCCCTCACCATTGGCATGGAATTTGGCTACTCAAAAGAGCTTAGTATCTTCTGCAAATCTGAAGATTACATTGTGTGATCCTTCTTTGGGTCACTGACTTTGAATAAACCTGATTCCAAGGTAACCCAGAAGAGAGAGTGACTGTTAAGCCCTACTTGTGCTTCCTATCCCTCAAGCAACTTTCAGTCCACATAAACCCCCTTTTTCCAATTCCGTTCTAACTTAATTTCTTCAGTAGTCTTTGGTGGGAAGCCTTGTGAAAGGTTTTCTGAAAATCCAGGGCCACTGGATCTTCATTTATCCACATGCTTTTCTCTCCACCCCCTGAACTCCCTGCAGGTAGCAAGGCAGTGTTTTCCTTTACAAAAGATCGGTTGACTTTTTCCTGTCGGATGTGTATGGGCTCAGCAATATTATTATTTTGTGTGGACTCTACTGCCTTACCAGGATTGGAAGGTAGTATCAGTGGTCTTTTCAGAACCTTCAAGGTCAATGTCATCTGGTCCATGTGACTTAGTGATTTGGCTGGTCTGGTACTTCCTGTATATGTGCTTCATGTTGATGTAGCTGTTCTGATGTTACAAAGAACACGTTGTGTGAGATACCATCCCATCATCTTCATTGGTAAAGACAGATGCCAAGCATTTGATGAGCTGCTTTGCTGTGATCTTCTCATGCTCGAGTACTCTTTTCATACGTCTGTTGAAAAATGATCCTGCCAACCCCCTAGCTGTCTTTCATCTTTCAAAGTATTTAAGGAACATTTTACTCTCAGCGTGAGCATCTGTTGCAATGTGATCTTAAAATTCTTCTTCACCTTCTTAATTTCCTGTTTACATTTGACCTGGCCTGTTTTATGGCCTATCCTGTTCTCATTTTCATTCTCCTCACTTTAAGAAATTTCCTGATGTTCTTTTCTTCAGTCTCCTGACACATTTTTAAGCAGCATGTCCACTTACATACCTGAAAAGGAGTAGAGGGGGGAGTTTTATCTTTAATCGTTCAATGTTTTAGTTTGCAGTTGCCAATAATGCATCCATAGTCGTTTTATTGTTTTCTAAATTCGGAATATTTTCTCCTTTCTTTGGGTCTTCCTAGCAGTAGGAGAAGTAAAAAATTTTACTTTTGTGCAAATGATGGGACTTGACAAACTGAGTAAATTAGAAGTAAGGCAGTGTGCTTCGTTGTCTTCAAAATGAAAATTGTTAGTTTTGAATTTTCAGGTGTTGTATACTGGATATTTAAAAATCTGCTGATATGCAAGAAGATGCCTTTCATTTTTTAGTGATTAAAATACCCATGAATCCCATTTATTTTTGTCATTTAGATTATGGCAATGTAGATTTGTATTCAACATTCTTGGATAATTGAACACATATGTACATCTTCTTAATTTTATGAAATGTGGCTATGATTTTTATAATTAGATTTCTTCAGGAAAATATACCACTGCGGAGCACTGTGATGTTGTGATTGTAATATTGTCAATCATGTTCCCAATTGTTAATGGCTAAAGTAGTAAAGATTGTTAGTTGTTCGGTTTGGTTCGGTTCCATTTGGTTCTATTTGGTTCTATTCTATTCTAATTCTATTCTATTCTATAGTCTAATACTTCTGGAGGGATGTTGTATTACTAGATGATACAAGATGCTGGATGGGGAAGTCAGAGTCTTTGGCAAGCAGATGAGAGGTGATTCTGTAAAAGTGCGAAGTAGCGGGGGATTGTGGGATGTGCACTTGTTTCTCCTAAATTACAGTAGGAAAGTAGGTAATATAACTGGCAGTGATTATTGCTTATGCTTCAGATTTAGTGTCCAGCTGAGATTAATTAGAAGAAGGATTCTCAGAACAGCGAGATCTTGGAGCACTATCTTAATTGCTGTTGGGAGAGTAAAAGGTACCGATCTCTTTGTTAAGGTATAGCTATAGCCTAATCAATGCTTTTGAAAAACTTTGCATAACCCAGTTGTAGGCAGCAATGTAGACCTAAATTCAACAAGCTGAAAGGTCCCTTCCAATCTCAAATTACTGTAAGTGCTGTGACTTGTGAGTAGATTCAGGAAAACATTATTAGCAGATTACCTAATGACTCAGTTGGCAGATGGAAGCTTTTACACATTTTCAAGGCTATATGAAGTTAATTAAGGATATCGGGCCAAAGCTTTATGCTCAGTTTTGATGCCTGCAGTCATGAAATTGTCTATTTAAGATGCTGAAACATCAGCCCAGTATATCTATTGGTGGTAAAATGTAAACTTCAGATGTATACTTCATGAATTGCTTACATTTCTTGGGTAAATGTTTGCCAGTCTAGTATTGGTTTTTTTAATACTTTGATACAAAAATACATTCTGTAGAGCTTACATAGTTATTTACTGCCAACTTTAGGGAGTTAATTTTAAATGGCTGATTCGCAAAATAGATTTTATTTTGAAGTTATTGGTTTCATTTTAGGGATACTGGTGTTTTAAAGGGTAAGTAGAAATAGGGGGAAATGGCTTATGTAGGCATAAAAATGACATGGAAGAGTTAATTAATTCCTTAGTGAGTAGTAGCTCAAGGTTTAGAGAGATTTATGTTCTTTGAACGGTTTTTAAAATTCCTGAAAATATTCAGTATAATGTATGTTCTGTGTCTCCTAGTACACATAGTGCATTTTTTCAGTAAGTCAGTGCCTGCCATGTATGTGAAGTAATATTTCCTTGGAACTGAATTTCTCTGGCCTTACATATTCCGGCCCTTGATAAACACACAAATCATCTACTCCCATCCCGTGTGATGAGCTTCCGAAATCTCAGGGAGTGATATGAAACAGAAGTGCTGTGTGGCTACAACACACAGTTTTGAATAAGTGCTTATATTTGCTAACTGATTAAATCTGTTTATATTATATCTCAGTAGCTTATCTTAGAGTCTGGTCAGAAAATTGCAAGCAATCTGAAAATGGTGTGTGGTTAGTAGACCCTTTCAACGGAGAATTTCTACCCCTTAGCTAGAGCAGGAGGGCCGACTGAATGGGTTGATCCAGGTTGTTGGCATGTGAAGTAAAGTGAGATAAATCCAAACTTTCAGCTGCGATGTCTCATCTGAGAGGGTTGCTTTTTCGAGAGCATTAATTCAATTGCTTTGTGATCGTTGGACCATATTCTTAGTTTGTGACGTTAAGAGTATCTAAATGAAGGGTGCGATGTATGTATGCAACAGCGATGTTTCTCGTTTCATTTTCAGTCTCTTTTCTGCTTTTTCTGTATTTTTATTGTTTGCGTTAAAGTTAAGGAGAATTTGACATCTGATAACAGAAGAAGATGTTAATTAACTTTAGGTCAGGTCTTGGTTAAGTCTCTAAAAGGTCTAGAATAACTTCAATGATGTTTATATCACATTGTCTAGAAATTATATTGTAAGATTTACATCACGTTATTATACTACAAATTAGAAATATTAGAGACCATTTTGGAATGTAATATCCAAATGTACTTGCTTTTTCTCATACCCTTCATGTGCTTCAAAGCTGAAGAAAAATGATTTCAAGACTCAGGCAATTAGCATGCTATGTCATTTCATCTGATTAAGTGGAGAATTTCTGTAATTGGTTGGATGAGTCCCACACACGCTGGCGAAAGCAGCATAGTCGTTTAAAATATGCTAATTTGTATCTTACTCATTTGAAAAAAAAAATGGACTTTATGTAGGCAGGGTTCAGTTTGCAGTGGAAAGGTTTGCATCGGTGAAACGTTTTTTGACTAAAAATATTTGCTTGATAAAAATATCCCTAGCTATTACTGTTCTCACACTTTCCATATAATAATTATTTCTAATGGTAAGCTGATTTCATGCTGAAGGCTTCAGTTCAGCAATGCACTTGAAGTCATGCATGACTTGCGTCATGCTGGATCATTCCCTCTATTTTAAAGGCATAATTCATGTGCTAGAATCAGACACACATTTAAGTACCTTGTTGAATTACTGCCTATGTGGAAATTGTTTTCCTCCTCAACGTAATCAAATTTGGAACTGGAAATGACCTCGTGTAGATGGTTTTTAGTATTTTTTTCTGAATTGTGCCACCATCGGTTGTTGTTCACTTTAATATTTGTGGGTTTGCAGCTATCCAGACAATTGAATTATTTTGTGTTCATCTTTACAATAATTATATGCCTCTAGACTGCCTTTTCAGTTTACATATAAAATTATCATTTTGCCAACATTGTCATTGTTTAAAAAATAGCAATGCAAAGTCTGGTTGTCCAGAGAATTATTCTCAATTTAACCGTTAATTTAAATTTTATCTATTCACATTATATGAGATGTAACATAAATTTTAAAAAGTGTATCTTTCATCTATATGTACCGCTATTTAGGTATGTATTTACCTTGTCTTCTGTATTTTAATATTTTTCAGACAAGTATAAAAGAAGGATTACTACTGAAGCAAACCAGTTCTTTTCAGAGGTGGAAGAAGCGTTATTTCAAACTTCGAGGTCGTACCCTTTACTATGCTAAGGATTCAAAGGTAATTCTATGCTATTAGTGTCTAATGCCGTACACTGGTAACTTCAATTTTTTTTTAGATTTCTAAGTGTGATAATAATAATAATTTAATGATCTGTTAGTGATTCTTGTATTTAAAAATTGCTGTATATAAGATACAGTGTATTACATTAACTTTAACTGAGGAAGACTGGTGATTTCTCTTGATTTTTTTTTAATGAAGTTTATCAGAGTTATTTTAACTTTTTTGTCTATTCAGACAAATAATAAATTCATCTTAAGGAGTTGTGGGGTTTTTTTGGGGGGGGGTGTCTCAGGTAGTCAAATTAACTTTTTTTTTTTTTGAAAAGTAAAAATTTTATAATGCTCAGAAGTTATCCCTCAAACTGAATTCCGTTAAAACTCTTCTAGTCTGATGCCTATATTGCCATTAAAGAGGTGGTTACGTGAACTAAAGATCAGAAGTTTTTCTGCCAAATCTGATATATAAGGGAAAAAGCTGTTTCCCATCAATTGAAATTTTTGGTGGGAAAATTGGGGGTGGGCAGAGGGGAATACTTGTCGTCTTTCTGAAAGGCATTTCCTCCCTCCCCCTCAGGGCTGGGACCGAGAACTTTTTGGCTTGTTGGGCTGGCTCAGGTTGTGCTGTTCCATAGCGGCATTACTTTTCTTTACCCTGCAGGGTTGCAGTGACTCATGGGACCTGTAGGTGAGGTGCTTCAGGTCTCCGTCATCTTCTATAGCCTGGTCTTCTCAATAAAACTTACTACTAAGGCATGGAGAACTCTCTTTCTAAGACTATATAATTGCATGGTGCACAGTGGTGTGGCTGTGATGAATCATGGAAAACATCTTCTCTCCAGGGAGCCCAACACTGAAGTATCTCTGTTGTCACAATTCTCTGCACGTGGTGCTACCACAAGCGGTTTATATAAAGACTTAGTAAACATGGCAGATAAGAGCTCTGAGAATGGCAACATCATCTGTGCCATGAAAATGAGAAAAGGTGTAATGAGTAGGCAAGACATATTTCTCTTGTTGGAATGTCAAAGGAGTGGAAGGGATCTCTTCAGGCCCTTGAGCGCTCCATTTTCTCATATTGGTACCGTATCATAGATTCCCCTTCATGAATTTAGAAGAATCCTAAACCAGAGTAATTAATTTATATTTTACTAAGTGTGAATCTCTTTCCTCTGACACCACGTTTATGCTACACAGTAGACATGCCAAAGCTGCATCTATTTAAAAAAAAAAAAATCTTTGAAAAAGATTTTAAAGCAATATATATTTTTGGAGCCACTTTTTTATGCTCTCATCTACTGCTTAGCAAATAGAACTGTGTTTAGGGGTCAAATAGGAAATTTTATCGCATCATCAGTTTTCTGTTTTTTCATCACATTTTTTTCTCTTTTTATTTTCTTAGTGGAATGGACACAAGGAAATGAATGCACAGACTGTAAGCATACCTGAAAGTGGGCTCAGATGATATTTAATGCTTTTATGTTCTTTTCCATTCACAGTCTCTAATATTTGATGAAGTTGACCTGTCAGATGCCAGCGTAGCTGAATCGAGCACAAAAAATGTCAACAACAGCTTCACGGTATGGAACCATTATAATACTGGTCTTGAAAGCTGTGGATAGGCTGTTACTAAGAAAATCAAGAATCCTCTGAGTCGCCTCTTATTTTCCTCTATTTGGAAATAAAATGTCCTTTATTTGGAAACACTATAATGTAGCAGAACAATATCACATCAGCTATTGATAATTTTGTGATTTTTTTTTTTTTTTGTAGCAGAAATTAGGAGGTTAGGTAACAGTTGCTTAAAAAGATGATGATACAAGGCATTAAAAATCCAGCAAGATTCAGTATTAGTACTTTGTTAGTACTTATTAGTACCGCTTGATTTTATGCTGTAGTTTGTCTTTGAGGTGATGTGCTGGATTGATTCAAATGTAATTGTATTATTGTTTTAATTTCTTATAATAACATTTGTGAGTTTCTGTCATTTTGAATGGGTTTTTTTTTTTCATTGCCAATCATATCCCTGTATGTTTCCAAGTCACGTGGAAAAGCTGTCTTCACAGTCGTACATTGATTCTGATACTGCTATAAGAAACAGAGTGTTCAGAAATCCCTGTTTCTGTAACTTTAGAAGTTGTTTTACACACAGGTCTTGCCATTTATTATTCAACTGCTTTGTTGGAACTAAGTGATAACGTCTGATACAGTTCCTCTGCTGATTCTTAACCTCTAGAAAAGTAAATTTTTTGAACAAGAACTAGCTATGAGGAGTATTGTGAGTACAGTTGTCCCCTCAAAGGTCTTGACTTCTCCCGCTGACTACAATGGCATCATTTTTCTTAACCTGCAAGTCCCATTACTCTTTATTAAAATGTTGATTTTCCATTTTCCTGAGGATTTTAATTTCACAGTTGGTCCATGTTGCCAGTGTTGGTTGTTTTTCTCCAAGGCAGTCCAATGTGAGCCTCCAGAAAGCTTCATCAGGTCTTCCTTGCTGTGGTACCTCCCAGGCAGCTACTGAAGTAGTCAGAGCATGTCAAAGACGTGTTCACATTGGGCTGGGTGTACAGTGTGTTATGTCAATCTAGTTTTTTTTACTAGGAATGCAATAAAAAAGACTACTTTGATGGAAGGTCTTAGATGAGGGGGTGGTTGTGTGAGGTACCACCTTACCTTTTGAAAAGGTTCTTTCTGTTGCTTAGAAGCTCTGCTTCTGCCTTGCTCCTGGCCAGAAGTAAAGCTGTCATGCAGGTATCGGGATACACGAGGAATAACGAGGCATACAAAGATGATGAATTGAGGATCCCAGCAGTGATGACTGTCATTGTTCAAGATGGGATGTAAGGCTCAGCATCCCCTAAAGACCCAAACTTCCTTCACTGTAGCCTCCATTACAGGAAAAACAAAGTTAAGAAAATTGCCAAAATCATGACTAAACCATGTCCCTAAGCACCATATCTACATGTCTTTTAAATATCTCCAGGGATGGTGACTCAACCACTTCCCTGGGCAGCCTGTTCCAATGCTTGACAACTCTTTTGGGGAAGAAATTTTTCCAAATATCCAATCTAAACCTCCCCTGGCACAACTTGAGGCAGTTTCCTCTTATCCTATCACTTGTTATTTGGGAGGAGAGACCAACCCCCACCTCGCTACAGCCTCCTTTTGGGTAATTGTAGAGAGCAGTAAGGTCTCCCTCAGCTTCCTTTTCTCCAGGCTAAACAACCCCAGCTCCCTCAGCCAGTCCTCACAGGACTTGTGCTCTAGACCCTTCACCAGCTTCGTTGTCCTTCTTTGGATGTGCTCCAGCACCTCAATGTCTTTCCTGTAGTGAGGGGCCCCAAACTGAACACAGTATTTGAGGTATGGCCTCACCAGTGCTGAGTACAGGGGGATGATCACTTCCCTAGTCCTGCTGGCCACACTATTTCTGATACAAGCCAGGATGCTATTGGTCTTCTTGGCCACCTGGGCACACTGCTGGTTCATATTCAGCTGGCTGTTGACCAACGCCCCCTGGTTCTTTACTGCCAGGCAGCTTTCCATCCACTCTTCCCCAAGCCTGTAGTGCTATGTGGGGTTGTTGTTACCACAGTGCAGGACATGGCACTTAGCCTTGTTAAACCTCATGCCATTGGCCTTGGCCCATTGATCCAGCCTGTCTAGATCTCTCTGTAGAGCCTTCCTACCCTCGAGCAGATCAACACTCCCACCCAACTTGGTGCTGTCTGCAAACTTACTGAGGCTGCACTCGATCCCCTCATCCAGATCGTTGGTAGAGATAATAAACAGAACCAGCCCCAATACTGAGCCCTGGGGAATACCACTTACTTGTGACTGCCCGCCAACTGTATTTAACTCCATTGACCATCGCTCTTTGGGCTCGGCCATCCAGCCAGATTTTTACCCAGTGAAGGGTATAAATGTCCAAGCCATGAGCAGCCAGTTTCTCCAGGAGAATGCTGTGGGAAACGGTGTCAAAGGCTTTACTAAAGTCTAGATAGACAAAATCCACAGCCTTCCCCTCATCCATTAAGCAGGTCACCTTGCCATGGAAGGAGATCAGGTTAGTCAAGCAGGACCTGCCTTCCATGAACCCATGCTGACTGGGCCTGATCACCTGGTTGTCCTGCACATGCCGTGTGATGGCACTCAGGATGATCTGCTCCATAACCTTCTCTGGCATGGAGGTCAGACTTACAGGCCTGTAATTCCATGGATCCTCCTTCCGGCCCTTGTTGTGGATGGGTGTCATGTTTGCTGACCTCCAGTCAACTGGGACCTCCCTGGTTAGCCAGGACTGCTGATAAAGCTACTACTGATCACTGAATCATGAAATAAGACATTCATCTAGACATCTGGATAGACCATAGAGCTGTGCAATCACCAACTGTATGAAATTTAATAAGAGCAAGTTGCGGGATAAGAAGCTGGAGAGCAGCCCAGCAGAAAAGAGATCTGGGAGTCTGGGTTGATGGAAAGTTGAATATGAGTCAAGAGTGTGCCCTGGCAGCCAAAAGGGCCAACAGTGTCCTGGGGTGCATCAAGTACAGCATAGCTAGCCAGTTGAGGGAAGTGCACAGTGCACTGGTGTGGCCCCACCTCGACCTCTTGTGTGTGGTTTTGGACATCTCAATATCAGGACATCAAACTATTAGAGTGAGTCCAGAGGAGGGTGACCAAGATGGTGAAAGGTCTTGAGGGCAAGACTTATGAGGAGCAGCTGAGGTCACTTGGCTTGTTCAGCCTGGAGAAGAGAAGGCTGAGGGGTACCTCATGGCAGTCAACAACTTCTTCAAGGGGTGTAGCGGAAGGAGAGGTGCTGATTTCCTTTCTCTGGTGACCAGTGATAGGACACGAGGGAATGGAATGTGGCTGCACCAGGGGAATTTCAGGTTGGAAGTTAGGAAAAAGTTCTTCACTGAGAGGGTGGTTGGTCACTGCAACAGGCTCTCCAGTGGTCACAGAACCAAACCTGTCAGAATTCAAGGAGCATCTGGATGATGCTCTTAGTCATATGGTTTAGTTATAGGTAGCCCTGCAAGGAACTGGGAGCTGGACCTGATGATCCTTATGGGTCCTATCCCACTTGAGATATTCTGTGATTCTCTGATGTTAAGGTAATTTTGTGTGGGGAAGAAAATTGTTTTGCGTGGGGTTTTTTTCTTTTTTTTTTTTTTTTCTTACAGTGTTTGATGTTCTAGTATCCTATAACCTTTAGGCCACTCAGTATCTTGTTCTTCATCAAAGGTATGTTTTGTATCTAGTATCAAGACTTCTGGAGAACATGGTAGTGAAAAAGAAATCTCAGGGGCTACAGCTTTAACAGCTTTGGAGACGCTATTTATTTTCATGTCCTGGGTAATTTAGGGCAAACAGTGTTTTCTCTAAGGAGTCTTCAAATTCATTTTGAAAAATTATTTGGATTTATAGCTCTCCTGGATTGAAGTGTCATCTGATTTGACTGTGAAATATGGTAATAGTCGTCATCTCGTTTAATCTTTTGGCTTCCTTCTTTGTGTTTGCCTAACCCAGTCTCCCAGCAACACAGCTCAGTGAAGTAAGACATCTCTGGCCTTGCCTGCACTGGTTTGGCATCGGGGGGATGGGGTGGGTGGTTAGCTTTCCAGCAATACTGCTTATAAATAAAAAGAAACATTTTTTTTCCTTTTTTTTTCCTTCCATCTTAAAAAAGATAATCCAGCCTTTCTTAAAATTCCTTTTTTTTTCCCCCTTTGTGTTCTAAGTGCTCTGTTAGTGTTCTTTGTTAAAAAAGCAAAAGTTAAATCTTAGTTTTCTCTAGTTAATGTACTCCTCTTGTTTCTTTGTCCCAATAGAGAATATTTTTAACACAAACTTATGAAGATGGAATATACACCGAATGGCCATTTTTCCAGGAAAACACACCTTTAAAAATTTACATTAAAATGAATTAATTTAATTTTTTTTTTTTTTTACAAATCCTTTTGTCATTTCACTTAAATTCCCTCACCTCCCCTCAGTCTCCCATACCCAGCTTATAGAAGCTGCTGATATGCCTTCTTTTGCCCTTTCTAGTTTGTCTCTTTGGAGACAGAGGTGTGTGTGTCAAGATTTTCCATGCTCTTTTTTTGGATAAAACTCAAGTCCTAAAATTAGTCATAACACACAGATTTAAGGGTGAGTTTATTTGTAATGTGCATGCTTGCAGAATATTTTATGTAACTAAATATCAGTGTTTATTCACCAGAATTACTTTTCCTTTCTTACTACAAACAAATTTAGGTTAAGGGGAGAGTTGAGATAAATAAATATCTGCTAATTATAATGAGAAGCTGCTAAACTTAAACCAGTTCATCTGTTTCATGTTTTTATTTATTGCTGATGATATTACTTTTCAGTGAATAACCGACTAATTTCTAGCAAATAGTTCCTAGTGCACAAGCTTGTGATAGTTTATAGGCATTTTGTAGAGAATATTAAATGGAGGAAAAGTTGTCCCTTGACTTCAGAGTCTTTGTATGAGACCCTCAAGGCCAGATTCTTCCTACTTGCTTGTTAGATACCAATCTCCTAAGTCTGTGGGAAGAGAGAGAAG